TTTTGTTCACCTTTTCTTGGGTAACGGACAAGCGATGTTTTTCTTGAGTCTTTTTGAAGGGGCCCAACAAACAGAGTTGTCCACCATTTTGTTTGGGGGGACGCTTCCCTAATTTTGAGACACATCCTTCATAGTTGCTGGCGTCCGCTGTCGGCACCTCCATCTCGAGCTTTCATGAGCTGAGGCGCTGGAAAGGCAAAGAGAGAAGCGCAAGGCCAAAGCCAAAGGCACCGAACCTTTGGGCGGAGGGGGGCCTTGGATTGCGAAAGCCATCGGGCCCCAAAAAGGGATCCAGTCCTTGTCTCAGCTCAGGTTTAAGCATCCTTCGATTTCGCCCTACATGTTTTTTTGCATGACCAGGCCCCATTCTGCACTACGAGGCTGTTTGAATCCGATAACTCAATTAGTTCCCCTTGTTGCGGTCCTTTTGCTATGACTATGGATGCGGCGAATTGGGAAATTGGGAAGCTCGTTTTGAAGAATGCAGACTAGCTTCGGTTCGCTCGCTCACGGAAGCGGTAAATCAGCTTAACTACCTGGAAAGTCGTATGGCCATTTGGTGTTGGAAGGGAGAGCGCCCATATTTGGTCACTGTTCCCATATGAGGTCCGTGGCCGTACACAGCCCGGTTTTGTTTCCATCTACATGTTGACAGGCAAGCCATACATGGGCCTTTTTTCTTGTTGCCCAGCCCATATGGACACAAGTGGCACATCATGTCTTGGTGGGTCCCTATGGCCGCTCGAGGCCTCAGCAGGATGATGGGCACCCAGTTAGGTAAGCATTCTGTGCAGGAACCGTTTTGCCCCCAATCCGAGGAATGCTGGACGGGAACCCCTCAATGGGTCTTTTGGATGTGGAGCGCTGGTTCTTCTAGAGGGTGAATGGGAATCCCCTCCGTTTCACCACCAAACCACTGGGCTCCAAACCACCAGTTAGAGGGAAGCTAAGGGGGTGGTCATTTCTCACTTCCCAACTGCTCTTGAGGAAGCTGAAATTTATGTTTGAAATGACTCCAGCTGACTCGTGCAGTGCCACGCCCTAGAGGACGTTTGCATGTTGCACCCTTTGGCCGTTGCACATGGCATGGGCGTGGCAGATATTGACATGGGGCGTGGCAGATTTTGAAATGAGTCAACAGGCCTGGAGTTTAGAACTATGGACTATGTTGCTTTCTTTGTGGATTGCTTGCGCTGATCACATGGTCTAAAGTTTGATGTCCCGTTCTCTTCGGCCATCCTGCCGAAAAACCACCCAGAATCCGTCCGGAAATACATTTCTGGTGCCTGGAATACATTTCGCATGTGCAGATCGCAGTTTTCTCAGGTGTCGCAGATAATGCATGGGAGATCTCGGGCAAGAGCTGGAGTTGACCATTGCACGCCGGCGAAATGCATTGAGCAATTCATAATTTTAAGCCAAGGCCCATGCAAGATAGCAACCTTTGGTGAGTTGACACAGCAGATCAGTTGGAAACAGGCCCCAGCAGCATACCAAGTCCAAAAGCAGGATGCCCATGTTGGCATTAGGAAGTGACAGGCTTTTGGACCCTTGGCCCCTCCCTCATGGCCCTCTCCCGGTTAGGCGAGAAGCAGGCCGAGAGTGAGGAGGAGGCTTCAGATAGCCCGGCGGACAAGGCGATTGCACAGTGCATGTCAAGGGCATTTTCAGGTCTGTGGTTTGGAGGCATGCATGTTTTCATGCCAACAAAATGAGCTTGTAAGGCGGTATGTGCCGCTTGTGTAAGTGGTGTAGCCTCCAAACCTACCTCTGACCTGGAAATGCCCTTGATGCTAGTATTGCTGTGAATGGGGGGCGGGCGACATGTGGGGGAAGGGCAGGTCCTTTGAAGGCGATGGAAACGAGAGAAGGAATCATAGAAATAATGCAAAGAGACAAGATAAGATAAACAGAAAAGGAACTGTGAGTCATGAAAATATGGTTTAATGGAAATAAAATCAGTTTGTTTTGTTAAGTCATGCACTCCCTCACCATTTCATTTTCGCTTACTATATATGAGTCTGAGTCTCTGGCAGTACGGAAAGCATCGTGATGAGAGGACAGCAATAAAACCAAATATTATTTCCATCACAATTGTCAGGGTCCCCCATTGGGAGATACCAACTGCTCTGCCTTTTTCTCACGCTCGTTTCATTTGTCGTCCATAGGTTCTAAATAACCTTTTGTTAGTACGGTTCCTTTAGCCCAAACGGCCAAAAGCTAAATTGAGATGTACAACTGGGGTGGGCTGAACTGGCCGCCGCCCCCAACTGGCTGCCCCCAGGCGCCGTGGACCAGAACTCGTGAACCTCGCGCCATGCTTCAGTGCCATATGCCGCTGGCGCAGCGTCTGGCGGAGTACTTGGGCGGGACACGCTCGCGGTGTGACGTCGCTGGTAGCCCGGTTTCGGGGATTTGCAGTGGTTCTTGTGGCCCACGCGGCGCGCAATTTTGCTTTTTGTTTGGGTCGTTTAAGGCGGCTCTTTTTTGCGATCGTTTGAGGATCAGTGCCCTTTGAAACCAAACGGGTACTGCCCAACGTTTGTGAAGCTTCCATCGGATTTCCATGTTTGAAAGGGAACTCGTTCCCTATAGTTGCCATTTTCTTCAACTGTTTTTGTTGGGAAAGCCGTGCTGACCCGTTTTTGGAAGAGCGAGGACGATGAGTATTCACGTGACAAAAGGCTGGTTTTTGCCTGATTCAAGGGGTTGGAGTGGGTTTCCTATTTTCTTTTGCTTGGGTTTGAGTGAGTTCGGCTTGGGATGGATCTGCAGTCAGGTTGGGAATGATTATACACGTGTTTGACACCTTTTTAGTTTGTTGGTCCGACTTTTTTTTGGGGGGGGGACCCCCAAATTGTGGTTTTCCTTTTGCTTTCCCTTTAGCACCAACCACCAGGTGGTACCCCCAAACAAAGACACACCCAGCGCGTTTGATCGGAGGAGAGTGCTGTCCGCATGCAGTCGGGACCGGCTGGTGCTGGTCGATGCCCCGAACGCGGAGCCTTCGGAGCACTTTGGCGCGGTGTTGGGCGAGGCCGGGGTGCAGAGCAGATGCCAACTTGGACCAGATCGGCACCCATCTTTTTTTGGTGGTTCCCAGCCATTTGGTTCCTAGCTTTTTAGCCTTTTAGCGTTTAGTGGGGGTTTCCATTTAACCCACTAAAAGTTAAACTTTTGGCGGGGCATCTGAGGACAGCCCAGTTTTTGGACCGCTCAGTTGTTCAGTGGCACCCTTTTCCCTTTTTTTGTGGCTAAGACCACTAAAGATGGTCTTCCCAAAAAGGGCTCCCTTTGCTTTCCAGGGTAGCTGAACAACTGAGGACCACATCGGGACCCATTTTTTTGCTGGAATCTTCATGTCTAAGGCAGGTACAAGTGGGGCGGGTAGTGGAGAGCCTCAGGGTTCCTTTTGCCTAGAGTTCCTGAAGGTTTCTTGGGATTCAAACACCCGGACCACCCCTCCTTAGGGATTCCGTAAATTTTGCTTGCATTTCGCAGGGGTCCTCCGCTCCGTTTTTTGGAACCTCAAGTGGCGGTCTCATTGGAAACCGCCAGTAGGATTGTTTGGCCCCTCTGTTTGAAGTTACACCCATTTTCCTACTTGGCAAGCTCACCAGCGGGTTAGGTGAGCTCACAATGCTGATGGAGACTGGATCCCCATGCCCTACATAGTGGGCGCATTTGCCTGTTCACGGCTGGCCTTTGGTGTGATCAAGTAGACCATTTGGAAACACTTGGCTTCTTGAGCTCTTGGACTGCATTGCTTGTTGGCCAATGCACGTCAGGTTTTTCTTTCATTGCCATGTGGGTTTGTCTTAAAGTAGAGGGGCACAACAATGGGTGTACCCTCTAAAAAAAGCCCTCATAACACGTACAACACTGTTCCCCTAAAACGGGTGGTACATGGTTTCCCTTAAAATAATAATAACGTAGCCTCAACAAGACAACCCATGTGCCACCCGGGTTTTGGGCAACTTCGATCGGCTCAACTTGAGGCCGCCACTTCGCGAGCCGCGCACGCTCCTCGCGTGCCGAGTCACCTCCACTCCATCATCCAGCGACCCAGTTGCCTAGTGCCGTGGGCTTGTTCACCTTTTTCATTATGTTGTGTTCTTTTTTGGGGGGGAGGGGGGCTTCTGCATTGAGGTCTACCTTTTTGGTTTTTGGACTGCATGTTTTCGGTGGTTCTTTTTCCCCATATCCAGTGGGGCATTTGTTTTGTTCCTTTGAGGGCTTAGTACCACAAAGGTGCCAGGTTTCGATTCTCCACATACTACTCCAGAACATGTTTCAGCTGCTTTGGCGAACCCTGGAACACTATCAATTATGTGTCAGAATGGAGGGACCCAAACATGGGGGGGAGGTTCTTCAACAGCGGTACTTCTCAAAATGGGGCCCCCTTTGGGGTATTCAAACGGAATCTCAAAGGAACCCCTTGCCAGCATAGGAATCGGACCCATTCCTATGTTGAGAAACCCCGCAAACCACCTTCCACAGAAACGGGGCGAACAATTTTTGTGTTTTGGGGCAGATTCCATTGCCGGACTAGCTGGTGGTTCGAAGGGGAGCCTTTAGGGAGCCGGGCCCCAGGATCCAACTTGCATTTAGAGAGGGAGCGGTTCAGGAGCTACCAGGACAGGAGTTCAGGTTAGGGACTTTGTAGCGTCCATTACCTCCAAACTGCCTTCAACAAACAACGGCATGTTTTTGGGGGGCCTGGACAAACAACTTCTTTTTGGGGGGGGGGCCAGGACAAACAAGTGTCTTCTTGTTTTTGGGTCTCGCGGGGGATTCCATTCCCGGAGAATCCCTCTGGAACACTTCCTCGTGCGGATTCGCCGAGGCGGATCTTCTTTGTGGACGCCGGGCGCAAGGCCCCGAGCGTGGCGGAGGCCTGCGCACAGTACCTGGCCGCCGTCTTCGGGCCGGTCGACCACGCAGGCGCGGGCCATCGATGCGGTGGATGCGGGGGAGATTTGGTGGTGTGTTTTGGTTTGGGAGGGGTTCCTTTTTGCTTGGGCTGGGGGTTAGCACCATTTAGAACGAGAGAGGGGATCACTGCAGGAGTTCGTCCCTGGGCAACTGCGAGTGAACATGTAGCTTTCGGCGCTGCTTCAACTCCCCGGGCTCTTCAAAAGGGGACCATTCGAAGAGGATTCGCCCATTTTCCAGTGCAGCCCTGCGGGCTCAATTGCGCGCGGGCTGAGGTGTCTTGGCTTTCCTACCTTGCATGTCATGAAAGCACAGCTGGAGTGGGCACGCCTTGAGAGAGTGTGCAGACAAGAGCCAGTCTCTCTTTTTTTTGTTGTTGCACCAGTTGCACTTGGGCACAAGCAAGCTGGAAAATACAACCTGCGAGTTGGCAAACGTGAAGTCTTGGTTGCTGTGTTCATCCGTTTAGGCCACGTCTTTAATCTTGGCCACTCAGCTCGGCCAGTATGTCGAAGTAATTTCAGGTGCGAGGCTATGTTAGGGAAGACCACCGCTGGGAGTTTCTCAGACTTGTGGGCTTCATGTTGGAAGGGAAACAAGAAACCGGCGATTCACATTTGAAGGGATTGGTCGGAGTTTTAGTTGACGCTTGGTTGTTTTTGACGACTCGAGGTGTTTACATGTTTTCCAAGCAACAGCCGAGATACCAGACATTTGGCATTCTGGTATTTGTTGTGTTTTGCTTGGCAAACTTCCAGGCTTTTGCACACTTTTCAAAACTGCAAGAAACACCCCGAGTAAACAACAAACAAACTGAATAAAGCATTAAAACTCGAGGGTTTCCACTTAGTGTCTGCAAGTCGCTGTGTTGGAGGCTCAATGCATTTTGGTGGTTTTGAACAACGCGGGACCCTTTTTTTGGGGAGGGTTCCTTACTAAAATGGACTACAGAAAAAAAAGAGTTGGTACCCTTACTCGAACCTCTCTACCCGACCTAGGCAATGTTGGCCCCCAGTTTTTTATCCAGCGGGTGCTTCTCCTTGGGTTTAGTGGAATCATCACAATAAGCTGGGGTTGAATCATCTACTGGAGGACCTAGTTTTCTTTGGGCCGGGCCGCTGGTGGCCTCAGGGGTCGGAGATCTCTGGGACTTCCTTTGCCGCCAGCGGCACATCCAATGCTTTCCCCGGGAGCCCGGGCCCTGAGCATCCGGGGGGAAGAGCCATGGGAAGGAGTACCTCCTGAGTGCATGGCAGTTGTACATGTTTTGTTGCGTTTTGCTTGGTTCATGATGTATGCGATGTTTTTTTGTGTGATTCTTCATTGTTTGGCTCTCGTTTTGGGGGTTGGGGGTCTAAATCCGGGTTACCTTAAAGATCAAAGGGTCCCAATTGGGAAGAAGCTAACTTGCGTTCTTGGCACTTTTCTTGGCATCCGGAATCGGGCATGGGAGCTGCCCAAATGTGCTGGGGGCTGGGGGTCGCCGGTTTACTCTGCACAAAGCGAATCGACCTTTTGGTTTTCCATATTTGGAAAGGTTGCTAGAGGCGTTGTTTTTTTCAAACGACCTGGTTGTGCACATGCGTGTTCATGTGTTTCCTGGAAAAGGAAGGCTTAGCGCGACAATCCTGGTCGTGCCATGTGCCTTCTTTGGGGTTGCGGCGTTGTTGATTGCCTTGTTCGTGGTGCGGGAGAGTGCGTTTTGATGGCTTGCAACCCCCCCCCAGTAAAAAGAACAACGCAGCTTTGACACCAGCCATGTTTTGCGCCGCAGTTCTTTTCCTTGGCAAGCCACCCACTGGGGGGTAACAGTTGGATACAGTTGATTTTGAGTCAAAAGCATGGGCCATGATTTCCAACGCAACCCAAAAAGTGTCACCGACATTTACCGATGCGGGAAGCAACCTGTTAGATACTTGTGGGGACACAGCCCACTAGCTCTCCGGTTCAGGTGGATGGCGGTTAGGCGTGCCTACTACGCCCTTTTGGCGTATTCACCTGGTGATTTGTTGGATGAGACACCCTTCTTCCCAATCAGAGATAGTCAGGTGTTCAAAATGACTCACGTGCACTGGTCGCACAGTTCATTTGGGTCACGCACTTGTTTGCGGTGAAAATGGAGTCCGTTAGGACGGTCCCAGGTATTGATTATAACTCACGCCAGCAAGCCAACACGGCAATGCAGGTTTGTGTTTTGCTTAAAAGACGCTTTTGCATGGTTTGGCTTAGGCTGGAACCCCACAATTGGTCCTTTTCCCACAAGAAGATTCCGGCCACGAGCGCGATTTTGTGTTTCATGATGGTGAGTAGGGGGAGCTCGAATAGATGGTTGCCATTGAGTTTCCTCTCCAACTTGGGTTTCCCCCTTGAAAACCCCAAATCGGATACCGAGCAGGATTACGTTTGTTCTCTTGTTCAAGTGGAAACATTTGTTTGGCTTATAACATGAACCTAAAGGAGATTGTTCAAACCATCAATGCAACAGGTTTGACGTCGGGCTTCATGAGGTTGGAATCCTCCCTCTCCGCTGCCGTCCGTGCCTCCCGCTGGGCTGCGCCTGGCGCGGAAGCAAAAGAAAGTCCGGCCGCTTTGGCGCTGCCGAAGGGCCGGTGCGACAGTGGCTTGACGCAGTTGGGACCCCACATGGGCAGAAATCGCTCTTGAGAAACCGGCGGGGGTACCCCTAAAAACCCAAAATCAAATTACGGTTCAACAGGTGAAGGTCCTCAGGTTCAAAAGTCAAACTTTTAACCTTTAGGGCCTCTCTCTTTGGTCCATCAGGCGTTGAGCAGGGATAGATGTGGATGAATTATTTTTCTGACACCATTTATCGCGTTGGGAAGTCCAAAGGGAAGCCATCATTTCTCGGGCCGAGTTTGACACATACCTGTTAAAAGACAGGTCACATTCCCCCAAGGCAAGCTCGGGTATGAATATTGGGGTGAGACTATTCCGTATAAAGAAGCTTGGCTCGGAGGTTTCGGGCCCTGCTCTTTTGGCTTTTGGCCCGTTTTGGCTTCTTTGGCCGTTGGGGCGCTTTGTTGCCTTTGAAATGACCCCTTTACATCCCTTTACTCCCTTTGGCCCGCCTGGATGCCACCCCCACCCACTTGCAATGCCCCACCCCTACCAGCCCAACCAACTGGAGATAGCCCCCCTCGCCCACACGTTATCAGCGCGCGCGAGGCATGGTCTACGCGGACGGCCTGCTGTGGTGGTCTACGGATGTACCCCGCATCATCGTGCCCGAGAAGGACTGGAAAGGGGAATCTCAGTTTCCTCAGTTTCCTTTTGGAGGGAACCTCACAAAGTTGCGGTTTCAATGGAAAAATGTTTGTCTCAGATCAGTTACGCAGCTCCCTTGGCAGGGTCCCGCCAAATGCAGGATTTGCAATGCTTTGCATTTGGGGCCAAAGATGATCTAGTGCTTTGTGGACGTATCCTTTAAGAACCCCATTCAATAGTGGTACGTTGTGGTACGCGATTCCGGGTTCATGAATCTCACGTGCCCAAAGCCGACCTTTGGATCGCATGGAGCCCCTCTGCATTGGAACTTCCTCAAATGGTATTTTTGTTTGGGCTCCATGCGAATCTTCCATTCGCTTGATAACATGTGCTGTTTTCGCCTGTTGGCTTTACAGGGAATGTATCACTAACTACTGGATATATTTGTTTCCGGGGAACTTAAATGGAGGTATCTTTTAGGACAACAACTAGTGATTGCTTAAACATGCCTTTGCCTTGAAGGGATCCCTGCAGTCACGCTACCCCTGATTGTTTGGATTGCTCTTTATTTTGGGCAGTCTGGTGAATTGATCGAAGTGAGACGATTGGAACGCCCGCAGGGGTCCACGAAAGGCCTTTCCAGTGTAAGTCCGAACGAAACCTTTCCAGTGTTCGGGGGTACTATCCCACTTGTTGCCGAAAATTCGAAATTGCACGCTACCAATGAACACCACCAATTCAGGGTGGGCTGATTTGTTGAAGACTTCAAAGTTCATGTCCAAAGTAAGTGTAATGTTTGACTATAATATTTGACTTTAACCAGTTGGATCGCGAGGAGACACACAGATTGCCCAAATGGAATCTGCAAGATGCATGAGCTCCCCCTCCTCCTCCCCACCTCAACCCCGCTGTACCCCGCTGGGGAGACCGGGGAGGGGAGAGGTTGTATGCGATCCGTGGTTGCCCTCCACGCCTAATGTCGGGCCATCAGACGTCCAGTTTGGGATTTTGGGTGATCCCCAGCCCGTAAAAGTGGCGCATGGGTGAGCCCTGGAGATCTCCATGGGTTGTTTAATCAGAAGTGGGGCACAACCCACCCATATGGTGGACACACCATGCGTCTATTTTACGACCATTTTGCTTAGGGTACTGTTTTGTTGGGGTCCTTGGGGCCGCAAACTACCAGGCAACTCTTTCTTGGTAAGGGGGTTTGAACCCCTGGTTCTTGTGGGGCAACTAGGAAACCACTGCCTCACGCCCGAGCCACCGGTCTTCCAGCCGCCTGAGTGGCACCAAACCCAGCGGGTCTCGGTGAGGACCAGCGCTCGGTGCCCTCCGGGGCCTACTGGAAGCTCCTGGAGATCCTCGATCGCTACCGCCCGCACAGCATGACCAGGCAGAGGCGAGACGCGGATCCAATGGAAGGCCTCACCGTTCTTGGATCAAGTTTCCTTTTGTTTGTGTCTTGGTTTGGTATAAATTTTAGTAGGGGCTACAATGAGCATTTAACTACCCAACTGTTGGCTACGGAGGGGATCACATCCTGTCAATTCTTGTGACCTCCGGACTCGACTTCAAAAAAAAGAAGGACACAAAACAACTTTTGTCTTGTCCGCCGCCACCCCCTGTGACCTCTGGTTTCTCCCCCGGGTTTCATGGCGTTTCCCCCGCGCTTCGTGCCGTTTCCCCCTGGTTTCTCCCGGCGCTTTTCGCGGTTTTTGTGGCCGAGGCTCATGGACCTCTTCCAAGGCCGGGGCTGCGCGGTGGACTTCGGGGCCTCCCCGGGGGGCTGGTCCTTCTGCCTGGCCACGGCGCTGCAGATCCGGCGCCTCGGGCGGCCGGGGGGGCGGGTCACGCTGAGTTCGGTTGGGTTGGGCGGGGATTTTTGTGGTTGGTGAGTCCTGGCCGTCCGGTTCCTTGGGTTGCTTGAGGCTTTTTTGGTTGCTGGAGCATTTTAGTTGGTTTGGGTTGGGGTGTCCATTTGATCAACTTTGAGAATGTATAGTTGGTCCCAGCGAATCGTTCGGTTCAACTTGGGTTGTTAGAGGTTTTCACCTGGTTTAGTGACGTCAAGCGTCCATTTAAAGCACTAAAAGTTGATTTTTGTGGAATTATTTAAATTTGGCCTTTTTGTGGTTTTCGAAGAAAGCACAAGGAAAGTCACATTTTTTGTTTTGCCCCTTAGTTCTGAGGTTTTTGCTTAGTTTGCCAAGTTCGGAGTACACTTGTTCGCTTTAGTGAGGGAACTTGCTCAATAACCACCCCTCCTCAAGGTCGACCAGGTTTGGGAAGGTCCCCTGAGGTTTTTGGTTGGCTGGGAAAACCGAGCGTCTTTAATCAGAGGGGGTGTATTCATCAGAGGTGCCCCACTCCAACTGGTCAACCCCGAGAAACGGCCTCCCAGCAGCCCGCGACGCGTTTTTGTTTTATACAGCAGGCGTGTCATCGCCTGCGACCCTGCGGCGTACATGCACCCCTTGGTACGGCGTCTCGCGCCAGAGGACCCGCGCGTGCCCTCACGGAAGTGCCTCACCCGAGTTCCGAAGTGAAGACCTCACCTGAGCTCCTGGACTTGAACCTTTTTCGAAGACTCTTTTTGTGGTAGACCAGCAATAGTTCTGTTTGGCTAACCAGCAAATCTGCTTTGGGCTGACCAACTGAAGAAGTGAGACAGCCAGCAACTTGTTTTGGGCTAATATACAAAGATAACGCAAGGGCGGACGATTCGTGAATGGCTTCCTGCGAGCACTCTTGACCAGAGACCAGATTTCTCACCCAGTGCCCCAGTGCCAGGGTCTTGGAAGCACCCCTATGTTCACAGGCATATACCCCGCTTCCTTCAAACTCGTGCGCCTGCTCCAACACCGTCTTTGGACGTCCTGGCAACTGGGAATGAGGTTGAGGGGGATTCCACCAGCACTAGGCTGATGTTTGTGTGTGTTTCAAGTTCTTAGCTCACTAGGTCTAGGTCACCTACAAGTTATGAACGGAATCTTCCTTTGGGTTCCAGGGCAGTGTACAGGTGATATACTCCATTTTGATTTTGGGGGGAACAAAGGATCGGCTTGAGCTCCCAAGATGGCCGAGCCTGGGAGGATGAGCGCGACCAGTTTTTGGAGGCCTTTACGCCAGAGGAGCGCAAGGACGGCCAGGTTGTGCGCAACATGGGGAGAGGGGCTAGGTCCCCCAGTAGTGCCCTTTCTCACCCCTTTTAGGTTGGGAGTGTTCCCCTACTAAAATAGACTACAGAAGAAAAGTTGGTACCCTTATTCTCTCTCTACTGGAGGACCTAGTGGGTCTACAGACGTGCATGACACAGTCCACACGTTGGCGTTGCACCTTGTTGTCTGGCCAATGATGTGGGGCTGTCGCATCCTTTTTCCATGGGTTTCTCCTGGTGAGATGAAGGAGTCGAATGAACTCGTGCAACCAGAGGCGGCGGCCCTCCTGATTTTCAGGTGAGATTCCCACGAGGCAGCCCCCGATTTTTGTCAGCACTGAATGTGTCAACCTGGGATTGCTGCAGAGGATCAGGCTAATCTGGGCTGGTGCTCTTGGTAAGGAATTGGTTCACTTTAGGTGAAGTACATGGATTATGGTCCTCATGCACTTTCTGAAGGCCAACTATTTTACAATTGTCAACTGTGCTGGAAGAACATGGGATTAGAGGTGCTGTAATGTGTGGACACGCCCCAACACAAGTATGTACACCAAGGAGGTGTTTCATAAAATTCACCGGCCTGCAGCTTAGCGGTCTCCCTGCGCGCACCTGTCTGGTTCTGAAAGGGGACAGCTTTTGCCATAGCCGGATGTCAGCGGATCGGGTGAAGTATTCCGTTCCAGTGGATCCATGTCCCTGTGTCGGTAACCAAGGGCTTACCACCCTTTAGAAACCACAAGGAAATTGGCTTGTTGTCGATACTGGCTCTGGAATGGCTCTGGGATCCCCTCGCTGGGATCCACTAACAATTTATGGGAAAGCTTGGATTCACTGGGATAAGGTTTATATGGATGAACGCACCCGACATGAGTTGGCCTCCTTGAAGCCAGGAAGACGCCAAGCACTCCCGCCTCCTCGCGGAGCGGAAAGAGGAAGCCGAGACGGAGCCGAAAGGGCAGATCTCCCACTGGCGGATGCGTCCCTGGGCGCAAGTGGCGGATGTCGTGCTTTGCTAAGATGGGATTGTTGTCATCTTTTATTTGCTTAAGAATATTTATAATTTTCCCCGGTTGGTTTTAACAGGAATTGATCACTACTGGAAATATGTTTATTTTTTCCGGGGGTCTCAACCAAATGGAAGTCACGTTCATGTTCCTGGCTTCAAGAACCAAGTCATGATCATAACAGTTGCAGGTGGTTGTGCAGTTTTTTAGGCCGTGATGTTACCTCGAACTGCTGCCCCGATGCAAACAAGGGGTGTACAACCTTGATGAGATCCGAGCACTCAACATTTAAGCCTTTAGATGTTGCCTTCAGTTGCTAAATCGCTACCAGGTGTACGCTTTCAACACGGGCCAAGGGATGGATGGATGGCTATGGATTTCACGGCTGGATACGGGTGTCTCCCAACTTGGTGATTTTTCCCTTGTGGTTGTCCCGTAAAGCCACAAACAACGGGTGAGCCACAATCAAAACCCGGGTAGATGAAGGTTCGTAAGGGACCATCCCAACCATGAAGAGCCCCGGCCGCCTTCTTAATTCTTTACATGGTTCTGGGGGCGGACCATTTTAATACCGGGTACCCTCGTGTCTCCCCAAATTAGGGTTTTTTCCTTTCGGTTTCTTGTAAAGCCACAAGCCACAGGTACCCATCCACAACGAGACACACCGATAACGAGGCCTCCGCGCCCAGGCGCTGAGGATGCCCTGGTGAAGATGAAGCAGCGGCTGGATGCCCAGTTGCCTCCACTGGCACTGGTGGTGTGCGACATGAACGAGGAGACTGGGCGGGGAGCGGGGGGAAAAGCTCCGCTGTTCTTCCGTTTGATCAAGATGTTTTTCCCTTGTTGGTTTTAATGGGAATCGATTTCACTACTGGATTTTTGTTCCCCGGCGACTTAAGCAAATGGAAGTTCTGAGTATATGTTTTAAGTCCCCCAATTTGGCGATCACCCCTGATTTCTGGGTTTTGTGGGCTGAAGACTGCGTGTCTTCCATTTGCTGAAGCGATTTTTTGTTCATGTTCCCCTGTTGGTTTTAAAGATGGAATCGATTTCACTACTGGATACGTGTTCTCAGTTTTTCCAGGGGGCCAAAAAGCAATAGCAGGGTGGACGGAAACTCCCTGGTTGATTTCCCCAAAAAGGAGGCCGGATGGAACCCCACTGGAACTCTGCTGCGCTCCATCCTTTGCATACTTCAAGAGACCCCACTTTTTAATCGCCCAGTTGTTTGCACAAACTCGGGAAAGAAGTCCAGAGCCCTCACTGGGCCCCCACCCTCTCATAACACTTCTAGGGCGTTTCCCTAGGAAGGTTCTAACAACTTATTTTGAAGAGGTGGCTGTGGTGGGGGGGAAAGGGTCTCCGGGGGTTATGTTAACCCCCTTTGATTAAATGGTGGTAACCGCCTGAACCCCAGGGTATGGTTCTCACCATCGAATTTAACGACTCACCCGGTCTCTCCAGGTTGAACAACCTGATCTTCCAAGGCACCCGCCCCCAGGGGTGCTAAGTTTGAAGGAAGGGTATCCTGCGAGAAACACAAACACGTAAGACAAAAACATGATTTCCCGGGCCATGCGCCCTGAACAAAGACGCAGTTGCAGGCCGGCTGCCGGTAAAACCCACAAAAACAACTGGTCCAATCTCTTGACATTTGAGCTTGGCCGCTCAGGGATGCTACGTCCTCACTCACTCACTCGCTCCTATCTCCAGGGCTCAAGAACACCACCTCTCATCCCTGACTCGCCTGTGAGGAGCTGGAGGGCGCCTGTCAGCCTCTCGGAGTCCGCTTCCTCGGGTGGCCCTCGTTTTTGTTTTTGTTTTTCACATGAAAGACTCACCCAAGCAGAAATTCCACCGCACAGCCAAATTTGGTCGGAGTGTTTCACAAGCGCAACATGAGTTCGCCTGTTTTTGGTATCTTGGGAGTCAAGCAGTCTCAACAACTGGTTGGATGTTTTGGGAGCGACCGGAATGCCGCTGGAAGGCAATTTGCTATTTGGCCTCGCAAAATCCTTTGTGGTCTGTGTTTGATTCGGATGTTTCGCAGCTTGGGCGACGAGGCATATCTTTCTCGATCTGGGCGTCATACTTTCCGGACATTTTGTCAAGGGCTCATCTGCGCGTAAAATCAACTCATCCATGGTGAAGCTCCTTTGAATGTGTCTTTTTAGGTTCCCTATAAACACCAACCAAAACGGGGGACTACCATTTTCAGAACTCCCTTTATACATCATGGTAAATCCTTGGGGTGCTTTACAGGATCACTTGCAAGGGTTTTAACAAGGACTTTCTTTGGCCTGGTTGAAGAATTGGCACGTCAGGTCTCATGTGAGGACCTGTTGGCACGCAGAGGTGGCCCTTTTTAAGCCTTGGAAGTTGGCCCATGAGGGGTTCCCTGTGTGAAACTACAACCATTTGGCTAGGGAGGTGTAACCAAGTCTACTTGCGTGGGCATGGCCTTCTGCCAAATGGACATTGTGTGTGTGAGTTGTAGTTGGAAGCCGCCATCATCTCCTTGTTTCAGGCGGGATTTGGGGTGCAGTCAGAATGAGCAGTCTGCTGATGGGCACTCACGAAATGTCAACGACGAAGCGCGGGTGGCTCATATGGCTATGGCTCCAGAAAATGGTACCCACAACGGCATTTTGAGCCATACCCGTATTTTCCATAGTTTCCCTTCGGGAAAGAGTGTTGCTGAAGTGTTTGGTACCCTTAGAGTTCCTTTGTGCTTTTGCGGATCCAGCCCGAAGAACCGCTTGCAGATGCTACCAGGGTCACTTTTTCAACTGGGACCCCCATCCCTTGAAAAATGATATATTTCGTTACATGGATCCGTGCACCACTTGGTGAAGCTTGTGAGTTTAGAACATGCAAAAAAATCCCCATCTCTAAGGTAGGAAGGATCAACAAGGTAAACAACCTTCCAGGAAAAGCAACGGGTGCTAAACAGCTCGCCGGTTGCTACTTCCCTCGCAGGAAGCGGGGGGGATTTTGTGCGTGCGTGTATGTGTTTGTGTGGCCATTCTATTTTCAGCTGACCTGGTTCTTGGCGAGGGTTAATGGGAAGATACCCCCGTCCTCCAGACCACTAATCCAAATCACCAACGGGGAAGCTTCTTATTCAACGCGCAGCAAACCGCCTCCAGCGGCTCCGCTTGAGCCAAAGGCTGCTATACCAAGTCTTCGAGCAGAAGCTCTACGAAGCTCCCTGCTTGGCAGTTGTCACCTTCAAGCGCCTCAACTTGCTTGAGAAGGCTGACATCCGGTTTGTTCCTTTGGTTCAGGCCATGTCGACTCCTTAACAACCCCCTACCCCAATTATTATTCCGGGCCCCTGTTTAGTGGGGATTTCTTGCTTCCAGGACCCCTGATTCATAACAAGGGGGGGGTTACAAATCAGGGGCCAAGGGTCGACATGAATTACCAAACTGAAGGGTCGGGGTTTTCTAAAGGATTTGAAGGGAAACCGAAAGGAAGCAACTGGAAGGGTTCTGTGCCAGCCGCGCCGCTTTGCCTTGAAGGAGCCCTTTTGGCTGCTTGCAATATCCAGATGTATCCAAAGTGAGCATATCCATGTTAGAAACATGGCGGATCCCTCGCACTTCCATTCTAAGTCTCCACTCGTAGATGCCCATGGCCTCGTTCTTTTTTTTTCTCCCGCGGGCTAGGCTGAGACTTGTATTCAAGGGGGACCCAAAAAAAGACCCGCGTTGGCATCACAAAGGTTGCTTCCAAACATGGCAGGGCACAGACCCACAAAACCAGCGCCTTCCTCTTTGACCGGGGCACTTCTTTGCACCTTTCGCGAGATCCAGCCCAAGGAACACCTGCAAGTCCAAGCAGGAGTTCCGGCGGAGGAAGAGCGCCATGCTTTTGCGCCTGCAAGAGGAAAAGGTGCTGACGCAGGTGCAGGAGATACACCTCTTCGCTCTTCGGACGGAAAGCCAACCTTGGCCCCAAAATGTGCGTCCCAGTCCCGAAAAGAAAGTTTGGGCTGGACAATTACTTGCTGGGCAGTTCCGGCCGTTAGACTGTTTGCATGTTAGGGTTTGGAGGGGGTGTGTGACACGCAGTGTATGTTTTGGCGGGTATCCCCTCGTTACATACCTTCGTTGCCTATCTTTTTGCATGTCCTCTCGTTGCATGCCCTGATGCACTCCCAGACTCTGAATGATTTCCTGAATCAGGGCGCCTCCAGAGCAGACTCTTGCAGAGCAGGTTGTTTTGGTGGACACAGGCACAGACCTGTCAGAGCCAACTTGCAGGGGGCTTGCCCGTCAGGACAAGAACAGTGGGAACAGGTAAGGAGTAGGGGGTGAGCTGCGGAAAGGCGCTTTGTCAATTTACTCAACTCGTACTCGCGCGCTGAAGAGGCTGCGACTTCGAGCACGAGCCGAAGTGTCACGCACGCACGGTTTTCCCGTGTTTTGTGCGCTACACACCTACGTAACAAAGAACCAGACCTCCATAACAAGATCCCACCAGGAGTTTCACTGTGAGCAAGCTGTCAATGCACCACACTAAGATCAGGTCGCATGCTTGGTTGGTTTTGTTTCCAAAGCATACCTGTTGCACTGCCCAAAGTACCCGATTCATTGGTTTGCTTTGTCGCCGGAGGTTTCCGGATGATAGATTATGTTGCACTTGCGATGCGTTACCCTTGTCAGCATGTTTGCTCTTGACAAGCCTGAAGGGGGTGGGCATTTGTGAGGCCAACACCCGCATGGAGACCACCATCGTTGGGCAGATGCTGTGACGCCTCCGCGTCCCCTGGCTGCTGCCTGCCTGAAGGCGGTCGCTCGACGAGCGCGGCATCCAGACATCGGAAGACCCCGTGCGCAGGGCGGCTCTCCCAGGCAGCGGAAGCTGAGAGGGTCTCGAAGACGGCGCCCGCTTTTTGCGCCAAGCGGGCTGCGGAACTTGCGAGAGGTGCCCGGAAACGAATCAAGCAAGCCGATGCTTGCAACATGTGTGCATCGCGGGTGAAGAAACGCCGTGCAGGGGAGTGAGGGTGATGTGTTGGTACGTTGGCTTGCGGGTGAGTTAGTGGTTTAACGCTTCCAAATCCAAGTCCAAATGTTTAAAATGTTTGAGGACATTTGAAGAGAACAGTCTTTCCGACTCATGTGGGGCTTGGAGAGAGGCTGAACTATATTCAACGGTCGTGCATCAAGCATGCGCAACATGTCGTCCTTGCCTGACGTCATTCCACTTGGGCGGCTTGCTGCCCCTGGTTCCATCGCAGGGATGTAGTTAGGCTCCCAAATGCTCCAGCGAGCTCCCAACCATTGAGCAGCTTTCTTGCTCAGCAGGGACACGTTTCATAGGAACATGTCGGCGCCATTTGCGGTTGGTGAGGCTCTTTTTTGCACATGATCCCACTAATGCTGGTGATATTCCCTGGCCCCATGTTTAACATGACACCCATTTGGAGTCATGAATGTGGACGCCTGGTTGTTCCCCTTTACCATCAACCACAAGAGGGTGCCCCGTCAGGCGTTTGAACCCTTTGAGCCTGGCAGGGATCTGGAGGGCCAAGGTGTTGATATTTGAGCCGGCAAGCATTGAAGTGCTTACCTTTTTTTCCTACAAGGGTCACCGAACAACTGGGGAATCCAGTACGCATGGGAGTTGCAAGTCGGTGTCAAGAGAGTGAATCTCAAACCTCGTTCTGTTCCTTTTCTCTGCCTTGGAATGTCCAAGCAAACCGCAAGCGAGGTCTGGGTCACAGGGTTCTCAAAAGCAACAAGAGCGTTACCCAAAGGCAGCGGGCCACCCATGGCTCACGCCCCGCTCACGCCCCCGCGCGAACTTAGCCGCAACGGGCCCCGTGTCCAGACTTGTTGTTCTTTTTCTATTGGGGTTGACATGCGAAACATAGTCTGAACGCCCCATGTTTGGCAAGGATTTCCTTCGAATTATACTGGCCTTGGGCCCTTGCCTTGGGCCTTAAACCCCTGGCATTTTCCGGTTGACCGGTTTTCTTTCCCCCGAAAACGAAGCGGCCAAAGTGTCTCGGCCGTGTTGCCGAGGTCTCGGCCTTCCCGTGGTTCGGCTCCTGCGCGCCGGCGGAAGAGCAGGAGGAGTTCCTCACCAGGCCATGGAGCCAAGCCTGTGCTCGTTGGAGGAGTGGGGGGATGGAGCCTACAATAAGCCCTGAACAAGGCCTTCCCCTCCCCCCAGCCGCCCAGGCCCCATGACGTGCCCTTTTCTGGTTGAGTTGCTACCCCTTGCTTTGGGGTCGTTTTAAAGGGAAACCCGAAGGAAAGCCACCGTTTTGGGGCCCAACCAATTTTGAGGGTACCTAACCTCCTGGCCCTACCAAGCGCAGCGGACCCTTTGAGATAAAGCTACATGAGGCCAACATCTTGCGATTTGTCTATCCATTTGGAGTCCGGGATATGGGGGACGAGTTCTAAGTTGCCGACAAAACCGGGTAATTTCCCCATGCTGTCTTGGCAACGAGTCATTTTGACCATGTCTCATATGCCGAGCCCCGATTTTTATGACCAGCCCTAAAACAAACTCGGGCCCTTGGAATTTGTTGCGTCGCATGTTAGTGCCGGATTGTTCTGGCAGCTTTGCTGAAATTGCATTCTGCATTTGAATTGTTTGCTAAATATGAGCTGAGATAGACTAAGCCCCCACTGCAATGGACCTTCCCTGTTTCCTCCTGTCTTTGGAGGTTCCCTTCAACCCTTGGAGGGTGTCCGATTTTTTCCCGTGCACAAACTGTCCATTTTTGGTGCTTCAAAGGGACAAGGCCATCCACACGTGATGCCAAGCCCATTTGGAGTAGTGACGCCTGATTGCAACCACTGGGCGGATGAGAGATGAAAGTCAGAGAGTGGCGTCCGAGGCCTAGCGTCACAGCCTGGTTGCTTCTTGTGTCTTTTCTTAGTCCCTGCAAAATCAACGACCAAAAAATGGGCGGAACGCTGTTGTTTCCATGGACACTGAGGCTTGAGGGCCGCAACTTAGCGGGGTTCCCGTCTCCATTGGGAAGAACCCCCCCCCGGGTGCCAAAAAGACACAGTTCCATGTTTTATTCTTCCCAAAGTTGACTAGCAAATCCCGGGACTTCTCTCGCATAAGCCGAGGTTTTGGGTTCAAGTCTACCTTTGGGTGGTCAATCATGGAACCCTCAGACCTTGTCCCAGCCTAGGAAGCGCCAACAATCAGCCACACCAAACAGGGATATCCCCCCCGCTTTCTGTTTTGGGGGTATATGAACTTGGGTGTAGGATCACACTTGGCCCTGGTCATGCCGCATGCCCGGGGCAGCTGTTTGGTGGAGTTCGCCCTTTGATTCTTCCCCACGGGATCACCAAAAAGATGTCCCAGGTGGCGAGTTTCCTTCTGGCTTCACTTACCAATCCCCCAGAGTTCCATAGACTTCAGCCCATGGGCCGATTTTGCGGTTTTTCCCAAAGGAAAGGAGCCCTCTCAGGGCGAAGAACCGAGGTTCATCACCCCCTGGCAATTCGCCGTGCCCTCCCATGTGGTGCAGGACCGGGCCAAAGGCAGACTTGCGAATGCAGCCCAAGGGTCCAGCTGATGCCTAACATATCCTCCATTTTTTCTTCGGCGCCTTTCTTGAGAGGAAGTACCCTGTTTGATCCTTGTTCTTGCTTTTTTCAGGCAACCAGAAGGACAACCGCCCTTGGGGTGCC